CTGCCCGAAAGCTGCTGCCGGCTAGGCAAGGCCCTTCCACCCATGAGGGTGGGAAAAAGGCACAATAGGGTATGTTGGGGTGGGGGCTGTATACATGGGCACCTCGCTCCTACCCTTGTGAGGAGAAGGGCTGGGTGGGGTACAATTTGTTGGTAGGTGCTGCAGGCCAGGTGAAGATGCAGCTTGATCCACCTATACATGACATTCTATTAGGCAGTCCTCCACTAGCCCAAGAGTAGACTTGACCCGATTTATATCTCTGTACTTATAAGGCGCTCTCTACACGTTAGAAGTGTTGCTCAATGAATGCGTTAATTTTCCCTGTCAATTATGGCTTGGGACCCTCAATTAATGGGTTAATTGCACAATTACCTTAAGACCAGCTACACATGCAAAGTACCTATCACACAATAAAAAGCTCCAACCAGCTATAAAGTTAGATCTCAAATTGCGTACTAACTTTATAGCTGACTGCCATCGAGCTTTGATTTGCACGTGTAGCCGGGTCTCCCCTGCAACAGGGAGCCCCATCACCTGACAGGGCTTCCAGGCACAAGGATGCATCATGCCCAGCCTGAAAACGCCGGGCCCAGGATAAAGCAGCTGCCATGGTCCCCAGGTGCATGAAACCCCAGGGTCCTGGGGAGCACGAAAGGATTGCAGCAGCCATGATCCCCCAGGTCCGGGGGTTTCACATACTCCTGAGCCTGGAAGATTGTGGCTGCCACAGGCTCTCAGCCACAGGAGTGTTTGGAGTGCCCCCGCGGCTGGAAGACCCTCAACAGAGAGGGCTCCCAGCTGCAGGAGTATGCTTCTCGCCAGTGCTAGGGGAGCCCAGGATTGGGTTCCTACTGCATTGGCAATAAGGTATGATGGGACTGAATGTGCAATCCCATAATTATGCCTCCTGCCATTCATGTGGGGTATGGCAGGAGGTGCAATTGCGTGGATCAGGCTTTTGATCCCATTGCATCTGCACCTGCATGTGTAGAAGGGGCCTAAGGTAGGTAAAAGTCAGCCTCTTCAGACTTGTTAACATGTCTCCAACAAAAGTAATTTGTTATACAAAGGAGAGAGCTTTTGCTGTCAAAAGAATTGTGGCTCTTCCTATTGTATCACTCGTCCTTCCCCCTCCGAAACTGGGAGTTATTCTGAACAGAATAGGAAGAAATCACTAGAGAGGATCAAAAAGCACAGGCTTAGGGGGGGACCTGGTGGCTGCCTATAAGTATATAAGGGGTATACATCAGGATCTGGGGGAATGCCTGTTCATCAGAGCGTCCCAAGAGAAGACAAGGTCAAACGGTCACAAATTCCTCCATGACCATTTCAGGCTGGATATAAGGAAGAACCTCTTTACTGTCCGAGCCCCCAAGGCCTGAAACAGACTGCCACCAGAAGTGGTGCGAGCACCTACTCTGGACTCCTTTAAGAAACATTTGGATGCTTATCTTGCTGGGATCCTTTGACACCAGCTAACTTCCTGCCCCTGGGGCAGGGGGCTGGACTTGATGATCTTCTGCGGTCCCTTCCAGCCCGAAAGTCTATGAAATCTATGAAATCTATGAACACTTCATTGCGGTGTTCTAGTAAATCCAGAGATGTGAATCTAGGGCTCATATCCCAGGTGCATCACTTTTCTTTTACAATACATTTCTTATATCTCCTCCTTTTGTATCTAAGGCTATGCTGATATTGCAGATTTATGGTATGGTATTACATCTGTCAGCGGTGCTCTCAAACCTGCCTTGCTGCTCCATGCACACTGCCCTATCTCTTCCTGACCAACGAACGAATATAGCCACACCCTTGCTACCCTAGAAACAGCCTCTCACACAGGTTACACAGCTGTTAGCATGGTAAGGTGCTGCTCCCAGGCATGGTAAGTTTGTGACCCACACGTGCCCTAACAAAACTGTTCAGTGAGAGAGGGTGAGTTTAATGTTGTAACTCTTTGCTAGGCCCAGTCCGGGTGGCTTGTGGTCAGTGTCACCATATTTGCCCATCACTTTGGGGTGTGCTCATTTATTAGGGATATGTTTCTAGGGTTTTTGCAATTCTATCAATGTGCTGCTTGCGTTACTTGTGTTTCTATATGGAGCTGTATCTCTCCCTTCTGCAAGTCTTCATTCCCAATAGAGCTATCTTGCAGGACTCTGCTTCAGTGGGGCTGGGTTTCTCCAGCCACCAAATCAGTCACACACACACACACACACACACACACACACACACACACACACACACCCACACACACACACACACACACCCACACACACACACCCACACATTAACGTGACTCACCTGACACAGCTGGGTTGATCAGCATATACAGGCTGACACCCTTGTATTCCAGGAATCAGTTCATTAAGGTAACAATAAAATGCAGTCAGATGCAAGCACACAGGTGAACAGAATACTTCTGAATCTGGCTGGGTGTCTAGCTTGACACCCTTATGAGCCAGCATTCAGTTTATTAGGGCATGTCTGAGCCAAACTGGGTCAATCAGCCTATACAAGCTGATTCCCTTATGTCTCAAACTCAGCACGTCCCAATCTTTTACCCTAACTGTCCTAGCAGTGGTAGCCTCTTGATAAGCAAGCCCCACAGTATTTCTGGGCTTCACAGGGATCTTTGGCTTAGGTAAAAGCATTGCTGCAGACCAAGTGAGGAAGGGGAAGTAGAGAAGGAAAAATACACCCGGTTACCACCAGTTTGACTATAAAAGTTATTTATTGCTAAGCATATGAAATTTATAATGGTATTGGTAGTAATAGACATGCAAGGGAAAATAAACAAAAACAATTACAATATTACCTTGGTTTAATTGAGTATTTGGGGAAACCTAGCTCAAGCTTAATTAATACAATTTAGGTTCAGAAAGCTATGCCTAGAGAGAAAAAGAAAAAGAGAGAGAAAGAGAAAGAGGGAGAAAGAGAGAGAGTGAGAGCTGGGATCTCACCATTCCAAGGCACTCGGGTGATTTCTTGACAAGCAAAGTTTCTAACACGATCGTGGAAGGGAGACGATCTGTTTCTGTCAGCTTCTCAAGAACAGTGGTGGATGGTGTCAGAGAGATGTCTCTCTTGAAGCACAGTTTACTGCTTTACAGCTTTCTTATACCCTTAGTCCAGCCTCTTTCAAGCATTCTTCTAATTGTGTAAATCTAGAGGGTCCCAAGCCATAACTGACAGGGAAAATCCTGTTATATAAACAGTTTAAATTTAAATGAATTACCTTTCTCAGTGACAAGGGGTTATCTGGCTTGAAACATCTCAAGAAACTGATTAACAACCAGGAAAAACATCAAGTTTTAAGGAGTAACCAGACACTTAGGAGCCAGATTGAAATTATTATGACTATAAAAGATATACTGGAAGGGATACCACATTGTTTCTTCTCAGATGGCCTAGCTATGCTTGCACTGTGAAGTCAGCATCAGCGTTTTGTATTTTACCTGTTGTGAATAAGCCTGTTTAGCATGACTTTCAGATTTTACTGTAGTCTTTTAACACTCAAGGGGATTACTTGGAGTGTTCATAAACTTTGTGGGGAGGACTTCCACCAGTCATCCTGGGAAAAGTATGACAGCATTTGTGGTCAGGGCTCCTGAAAAAGTCCTTTGTAAGTCCAGCAAGCTGGGTGCCAGGGCTCCCTCAGGAACACAGAGCTGACAGGTAACATTAGTTCCTGCTTGCCAGTCACAGGGAAAGATTAATTTCCACAAAGTGGCCAGAAGAAAACAAAAGCAATTCAGCCATACATTTGCCAGAGGAATTAAGCCAAAACACAGGAGTAGCTAATTGGGTCACATGCTGTACTCTGTGGCCTACTAGAAAATGCAACAAGCATCAGAAACAAAAGCGATTTTTTGCTATCCTTCCCTCATTTTTCTGTTGGTCTTATGTGCCTCAAGAAGAGGCTTTCTTTTCTGCAGGAAGAGCCTTGGATGCGAGGTTCCCTTTTCAACACGCTAGGGGGAAAAGCAAACAAAGATTTCATTTGGAGGGCCGAGCGTAGACAGTGGCTCCTGTTCTCTTTAGCATGGGCATGCGGTTGGGCTATTTCTTTACTGTTAAATGCAAAGGCAGAAAAAAATAGACTGAAAATATCATTGGCTTAGCAACTGACCAACCAAGACCAAAACAAACAAAGCCAAATGATGGAAGCAGGAAAATCCATCTGGTGGGCATCACAAGGCTTGCACTCCTTCAGTACATGCACCCAGCCTTGCAGCAGTCACCTTCCAGCTTGGACTCTCTCCTTTTCAGGAAAAACCATACCGATAACATTATTACCAGAACAACCAAAGCCAAACAACAGAAGAAGGAAGCCACCCAAGTGGGTATCAGAAGGCATACCACCACTCCAATGCACATACCCAGTTGTGCAATGATCCCCCAGTCCTCCCACTTTCTCAGAAACTGGCCTTCAGCTCTAGTAAACAATGCCTGGCAGGGGCAGGGCCCTCTGGACCCCACTTTCCAAATTGATGGCAAGGCCCTAAGTCTGCTAGGCCAGTGATTCCCCAGCTATGGTCCATGGACTGGTGGCAAAGTCAGGGCAAGCCTGCTGGACTGAACCCACTCTGCTCCCAGAGCAATGAAGGGTGGAGCCGGAGCCCCTACATCCCAGAGCGCCCCCCCGGCAAGCAAGTGGACCTCACTCAGTCCCTGGGCACCTGCTGCTCTGGCCCCGCTCCTTTCGTTCTTTATGCAAATGAGGCGCGTAAGGCCCGCCGCCGCCTTCTGTGGCCGCGCCTCGGACCGTACCATCGCGCCAGGAGAACACTGCTCCCCGCGCCCGCGCGCCCCCTCCTGCGCGGCGCTGGGCGCGTGGTACTTCCAACCGCTGAGAACGGGTCCTCAGGGCAGCCCGGCTGCCCTCTCAGTGCCTGATTAGAAAGTCCCCCCCGGGGCGCAGCCACGGGGCCTGCCCCCCCTCTCCCGCGAATAGCTCGGAGTCGTCCCCCACCCCCGTCCCGTGCGCAGTGGGCACGCGATCAGGCTGCCCACTGGCCAGCTCAATAAAGGCGGAAGCGGTCGCCAGGGCCCTTTCGGCGGCACCGGGTTGACGTGGGCTCCGGGAGCGGCGGGAGCTGTCGGGCCGGGACCATGTGAGTGACAGATCCTTTCCCCCGGCCCCCACCTTACCCCCCT